AGTGAGAGAGAGAGAGAGAGAGAGAGAGAGAGACAGACAGACAGACAGACAGAAAAAGAGAGAGCCCAAGCCATGCCAGACCACGGAAACATGTCAGCCTGAATATAATGGGCTATCTTGTCTGTGAAGCCCAAGCATGGGGATGTAAGTTCCTTAGTGTCACCAAGCCCGCCCTGCACCAGACAAGGGCAAGCGTGCCATTCCATGGGTGGGGGGGGGGGATACCATGGGGGGGGGGATACCTGGGGGGGGGGGGTGGGGCCCGGGAGTCCCAGACCATAAAGATGGACGTGTGACATGCTTCAATTTCTGAGCTCCCTCCTAGTGGTTACTCTTTCTTCGGTTGTGTTCAGCAAGCCCTTGCAGCATGAAAGACCTGCACGTCACCTACCCTATCCTGAGTCGAGAGTATGGTGACGCTTTGTTTGCTTGGCAGTGGCTGCCGTTGCCCAAACATCCAAACTCGACACGTGAGCTCATGAAGTAGCCCTACAAGCAGTCTCCAACCTGACTCCTACCCAAGCACGAAGATGAGTAGGTTGGGCGAGACCTTCGTGACCCTAGGCATACACCTCAGGTAAAACAGAGAATATCGAGGTTTTCCGAGAAAACTGAGGTTCTCCTAGTAAAAAATCACCTAACAGCAGAGAAAATAGAGTTCCTCCCCCCCCCCCCCCCGGGGCGCCCCAGCCGAAAAGTTCGCGAGAGAAAACAAAGATCGCGAAAAAAACGCCTCCTGTGTTATTCATCATTACCTGTTTGATGTGTGTCTTTTTCTTTCGGGGGATTATGTGCGGGGGCGGGGGATGGGAGGGGTGTAGCTTATCAGGACGTTTTGGGGGGTGGGGGTTCGGGGGGAAGTTGTCAGGGTAGGGTGGGAGGGTAGGTATTTTTCCAGGGTTTGGGGGGCTTAAGGAGTTGGGGCTTAGGCGCTTGTGGCTTTTGGGTCTAGTGTGCTCAGTGTTTGCCCTTGATATTCGGAAAGGGTTAAACCTGCGACGCGAAGGCCTGGCGTCTGATTATAGGGTTGAGGTTTTAGGGTTTAGGGTTGGAGTTTAGGCTTTAGGTTTAGGGTTTAGGTCTAGGGTCCTTGAGGGAGGGGGGCTCCAGGCGGAAAAGGTGTTCAGGACATCCGGTTGTTAGTTGTCAACCCTAAACCCCACAAACCTTCAACCGTAGACCCTCCCTTAAAAATCCCATACCTCGAAAAAGCCTTCAAACCCAAAAGGGTCCTCAAAGCCTCGGGCCCGGGCAACGTTAGTTACATGTCAGGTCGGATAACCCCAGGTTTGAAATCCTAAACCCCACATAAGCTCCAAACCGCAAACCAGAATGATACACCTGATTCCTACCGGCTGACAACAGCCGTCGAAGATTCTTGGATGCTTCCTCGAGGGTAGATTACATGGTTCCTAATACGCCTCCGGACCTGGACTCTCAAGGTAGTTTCATGGGCCCTTATGGCCCCTGACTGTCCTTAAAGGGTCTGAAGTCTGGGTTCTTGGGTTTTGTAGGGTATATGAGGTTTTAGGGGATGTAACTACCCTCAGTTTGACATTGTGGCCAGCAGCTCGCTGTAAGTGGCCTTTAAGCCCCTAAGCGAAACCCTACACCCTCAATTCAGAGAGTTCTAGGGCCTACACCCGAAAACCCGACAGCCCTAAACCCGAAAACCCTACAGCCCTAAAACCCTATGGCCCCAAACCCTGCAACCCTATAACTCTATAACCCTATAACTCTATAACCCCAAATCCCTAAACCCTGCAACCAACCCCCGGTTTTGGGGAGGCGCTGCGCCTCGTGGAGGACTGGGGTATTGTAGGGGGTTGTAGGGTTTTCGGGTTGTAGGGTTTTGAGGGCCTAGGGTTGTAGGGTGTTTTAGGGTTGTAAGGTGTTTTAGGGTTGTAGGGTTCAGGGTTGTAGGGTGGAAAAGGGTTGTAGGGTTCAGGGTTGTAGGGTGTTTCAGGGTTATAGGGTTTTTAGGGCTTAGGGTCGAGGGCTGAGGGTGAGGGTTGAAGGGCCTGGGGGTTCCCTAAGACGCTCAGGGCGTTGAAACAAAATAGGGTCCGGGCGTTTACGGATTGGTGGGGGCCGTTGGGGTGTACTAGTGTACTAGCTTTGCTGCTACGAGGCTACACAACTTCGGCCCGGGAGATACAAACCACCTCGAGAAATATCCCAGGTTTCCCGGGCCATTCGGGGAGGAGCCGTTACACGTCGCCGCCCAAAAGCCTCGGCTTAAGAATGGGCGCTTAAGCAGAGAGACGCCGGGGGCGATCCAGGATGAGATGTGATCACATGTGCCGAGTACCAGCGCCTGCGCAGCCACGCTGAAAACGGTGTGATCACAGCGGGGAGGGGCGCTGCTCCTTAGTCAAAGGGTCTCTGCAGTTCCGGGGTTTGGGTTTCGGGTTCAACCGCAAACCCAGACCCTCTAGACCCGAAGCACAATCCCGAAACCCTAAACCTCAAACCCTAAACCCGAAACCCCATACTCCAAACTCCAGACCCCAAACCCTAAACCCCAAACCCTAAACCCTAACCCCAAACCCTAAACCCTAAACCCCAAACCCTAAACCCTTCGCCCATGGAGCCTCTTCCCAGGACGGCTGCGTGGTGGTGGATGGCCTGCGCGAGCTGGATCCTGCGGCTTTGGTGCCTTCTGAGGCAGAGGCGCGTGGGGGGGGGGGGGGGGGGGGGTGGTTGGGGGGGGGGGGGGGGAGGGGGTGGGGGTGGGTGGGGGGGGTGTAGAACCCTAAACTCTAGACCGTAAACCCTAGTGTTGAAAGAAGTGGGGTTTTCGGGATGGGGGTTAGGTTGTAGGGCTAAGGCTCAAACGCCACATGATTATGCCCCTAATTACATGAACCCTGAACCCTTCAAATCCTGACTGCGAATCCTTAGCGCTCAGCCCTTGCCGTCATCCACGCCCTAAACCCTGAACCCTCTCCGTAAAGTAAGGCAGGGGCTTCCTAAACCCTGAACCCTAGACCCTAGACCTTAGACCTTAAAACGCCCACATAACTCAACCCCAAACCCAAGCCCTCAACCCCTAAATCCCAAGCCATGTACTTGACTAATCCCTAAGTTCCCTAAGCCTCGAGAGCGCCCAAGAACCCGAAACATCCTGAACAGGGGCCAACCCAAGACCCTAAACCCTAACCGGAAACCCAAAACCCTACCCCAAGAGCTCAAAGAACCGAAAACCCCTAGGAGCCCCCGAGCCCTCAACCCTAAACTCGAAATCCTAAACCCGAAATCCTAAACCCTAAACCCTAAACCCCAAACCCTAAACCCTAAACCCTAAACCCTAAACCTCAGACTGCAGGTTCGGGTGCTCCGCGCCGACCGCTCGGATTGCGCGGTCGAAGCGCCCGGCGATGTGTACCTGACGCCGGGCTCAGTTGGAAGGGGAGGGTTTAGGGTTTAGGGTTTAGGGTTTAGGGTTTAGGGTTTAGGGTTTTGGGTTTGGGGTTTGGGGTTTGGGGTTTGGGGCTAGGGTGTAGGGTGTTTGGGGTTCAGGGTTTGGGGATTGTGGTTTGGGGGTTAGGCCGGCCTCACGGCCAGCTCTTGTTGTGGCTTTTCTTTGGTTGGTTGAGCGTTCAGACCCTGCACCCGAAACCAAGCTCCCACAAGCTCGCCAGTGACGATGCCAGCATGCGGAGACAACGCGCCGACGCTGTCATCCTTTGCAATCCGCACTGTGACAACCTGCTGGAGAAAGCTTCCCCGGTCGTGCGATTGAGGCCTTCATGTCGCCCAACACAGTGGCGTGGCATGGCAGACTCCAAGCCTTGTTCCTATATTGCGCCGACACCTAAACACCCTACAAGCCTGAAATCCCTTATGCAAGGGTTTTTAGGGCTTAGACCCCCTTGGCCTAAGCCCCAAACCCCTAAACACGAAACCCTTTATGTGTTAGGTAAGTTCTTCCAGAACCTCAGGCCTTCAAAATGAAACATTCTTCTGAGGGGGGGGTGGGTGACGGGGAGGGGGTGGGGGGGGGGGGCTGGGGGGGTGGTTGGGGGGGGGGGGGGGGTGGGGCCTTACCCGCCCCCTGACCCCCTCCCCCACCCGCACTTGCAAGTTTGGTCCCCCTTAAAAAACTCTTAAACCCTAGACCCTAAGTAAGCCCTAAACCCTTAAAGCCGAGGAAGTTCTTCAAGCCACGGGGCGTCGTCACCTCACACAGCGAGAAGTCGAGCAGCCGGCCCGTGATCGCTAGCTCCTCGTCCTTTGACGATAAAGCCTAAAACCCTGAAACCCTGACAACTTCAACACGTAAAGCCGAAACCCTAAAACCCGGAAGCCCTAAGCCAGAAACCCTAAACCTCAAACCCGAACTCCTAAACCCTAGCTTCTGGCTGCTCGGGGGCGGGTTTAGGGTTTGAGGGTTTCACGGTTTAAGGGCTTAGGGCTTCGGATTTAGGGTTTGGATTTGGCGTTTTTTGGCGTTTAGGCATAAAAAAGATTAGGGTTCCGGATTTTTTAATGGTCAGGAATTTAGAGGTTTTAAGGGTCTAAGAGTTTAGAGTTCAGGGTTCACGGTTTTAGGGGTTTAGGGCTTAGCATGTAGCAGTGCACGGCCGCGCCCCATGCCACACAGGGCCTACGGCATTTCTCCCAAAGCAACCCTGACTTTTTTCGGGGGTAACCAGGCTTGCAAGGTAAGCCCTGACCCTAAGCCCTAAACCCTAAACCCTCACCAAAACCCGGAGCCCTTGTATCGATGTCGATGTCCTTGTGGACGCTGGGCGGCCTGTGGTTGCTGAACTCCACCCCCGCTCCTGCGCAGCCGGCCTCCCAGCTCTCAGCCCTCAACCTTAAATCCCTAAATCCCCTAACCCCCAAACCCGAAACCCTAAACCCTAAACGCTAAACCTCAAACCCGAAACCCTAAACCCCCGCAGTCCCTAGTAGACCACTGAATCCCGACAACCCAAAGCCCAGTGCCCTCAGCCGAGGCTTGTATCCTCCGGGGTCCCCGGGCTCCCTCCACAATGCGGGCCGGCTGGACGGAAGGGCATGGAAGGGCTAGGGTTTAGGGTTGAGGGTTTAGGGTTTAGAGTTTAGGGAGGGTTTAGGGTTTAGGGTTTAGGGTTTAGGGAGGGTTTAGGGTTTAGGGTTAGGATTGAGGAGTTTAGGGTTCAGGCTTCACGAGTTTAGGGTGTAGGGCTTGGGGGTTGGGAGTTCAGGGCTCAGGGATCAAGAGTTTGGGGTGTAAGGTTGTTGAGTTTGGGGGCTTAGGGTCTAGGAGTTTAGGGTTGGGATGTTCCCCCTTATACTAACAGTCCTGAATAGGGATTATAGTACCCCTCATTTTCATCCCTATGAAGGACTGTTAGTATAAGGGGGAACAAGTTTAGGGCTTAGGGTTGAGGATTTTAGGGTTTAGGGTGTAGTCCCGGTAAGACGTGTGACGAATGTTTTCGTAGATGTTTGCATATAGCCCAAACATGGAAAGTCAAAGGGAGTTTGGGGTTAGGAGTTTAGGATTATCAGGATTCTAGGGGTTAGGGTGTAGTCAAGAAGGACAGTCAAACAAAACCACCCCCCCCCACCATGTTCCTAAACCCTCAACCCTAAACCCGGAACCCGGAACCCTGAACCCTAAACTCACCGTTTCCATGGCTTTAAGACGAGTATCATTGGGAGGGCCTTGGGATTGGCGAGTTCCGGGTTTAAAGCCTGGAGTTTACAGCTCGGACGCAAGACAGCTTCTATGTGGTCGGTTTAGGTTTTAGGTTTTAGGTTTTAGGTCTTAGGGTTTAGGGTTAGGGTTACTATATAGCCCTGCTCTCACCCTGAACTCATGGAAGCCTGAGACAGCGTTACCCTGCATTGGTCAAGCTGTCTTTAACTCCTCAAGGTCGGAGCCCTGAGCCCTAAACCCCCAAGACCTCAACCCCAAACAGCAGGGTTGAGGGACAGGAGTTTTAGGGTTCTCTAGCTTAGAGGGCGTCGATTTTTTCCCTTTAAAGCTGAGTTGCCTGGAAGAAGGGGCCACTTTAGCAGCCCATTGCTCACAATTACATACCCCCAACGACTGCATTTCCCTATAGCCGAAATCCGAAAACAACAGGACCGCGATAGCGAGGGCCTGCTGCTGCTCACCACGGACGGCCACTTCACTCATTTCGTGACCGCGCCCGAGAAGTCTTTCGAGAAGGACGCGCACGATGCCGGTGTGCAGCATTTCTTGGGGTTGAGGGTCTCGTCGGGGTATGCATGTGTAGGGAGTGGGGGCCCGTGGGCCCGGGGGGGTGGGGGGGGGGGGGTGATTTATCTTTATTCTCTTAAATTTGTGTTGCGCTGTACCCCTTGACCCTACAGTCTGACAGCAAATACGGATTACTTCCGCATCTTGCTTTGACATAGTTCTTGGGCTTCAGGTTTTAGGGTTGGGGTCTAGTGGTTTAGGGTTTGGGGTTCAGGGTTGAGTGGTTTATGGGGTTTCGCATTTTGTGGTTTGTTGAATTCGAAGAACACTTCGTGCCCCCAGTTCCTGCTTCAGAGGAGTATGTGGCTCTCACCTGCTGCGCCAAGGCTGGGCCGCCCAGGAAAGGGTTTTGGGTGTAGGATTGAGGTTAGGGTTTGGGGTTTTTGTTTAGGGTTTACGGTGTAGGGTTTGGGGTTTAGGGTTTGGGGTTTGGGTTTTGGGGTTTGGGGTTTGGGGTTTAGGGTTTGGAGCTTAGGTCTGGCCGTTTGGGGCATTTGGGACGCTCTGATGCTTTGGGGTTTGAGGGGCTTATCCTAGGTAGGATGAGGGGGACCCTTAAAAGGGAACCCCTTCTTAACCCTCTTCTGGCTCTCTTTAACCGGGACCTTATTCAGAGGGTCTATATCCCCAAGGGTCCCCCTAATCCTATCCCCTAGCTTATGTGTTGGGGGTACTGGGTTCCGGGTTTTGGGCACGTTGGGCCATAGTGCGGGTTGAATGTTGAAATTTCGATTCGGGCCTGTGCCGCCTGTCATGCCCGGTTAAAAAACCCTAAACCCTAAGCAGCATGGTCAACGTGAGACCTGACAGCGGTTTACGGTTTAGGGTTTAGGGTTTAGGGCTTCTATGGTTTAGTAGGGTTCAAGGGCCTTGACATCTTCGTGCCTGAAGACTGGTAGTTTGAGGCCCGCCCAACCCCCGCAAACCTCTAAGCCCCGAAAAGCCCAAAGGCCCCACATCCTAACGCACTGAATTCTCAACCCGAAGCCCTAAACCCTAAAACTCCAAACCCAGTCCAAACCATAAACCTTAAACCCTAAACCCTAAGCCCTAAACCCTAAACCCAGAACCCTGAACCCTGCATCCTAAACCCTAAACCCCTAAACCCCTAAACCCCTAAACTCTAAACCCTAAACCCTAAACCCTAAACCCTAAACCCTAAACCCTAAACCCTAAACCCTAAACCCTGAACCCTGAACCCTGAACCCTAAACCCTAAACCCTAAGCCGTTGCCTTCCTAAGGATGGGGCGCCGCCCTCCAAGGAGTGCCTGAGCCGCCTGGCGCCTCGGATGGCATTTCAATCGCCCCCGCGCAGGTCTGGGTCTAAAGGCTTCGGGGTACACCCTAAACCCTAAACCCTAAACCCTAAACCCTATACCCTAAACCCTAAACCCTAAACCCTAGACCCTAGACCCTAGACCCTAAACCCTAAACCGTAAACCCTAAACCCGAAACCCTAAACCCTAAACCCTAAACCCTGAAGCCTATATTTACACCGTTAAGCTCTACACCCTAAACCTAAACCCTACACGTTCAGTTGACAGTTGAGGAGGAGGTTTGGGAGCCCAGCGCCCTAACGTTTTTCGGGAGGTGACCAGGAGGTTTGAGGATTTAGGGTTAGCCCTGCGTAACATGAGCCCTACGTCCTAGGCCCTAACGTCCAAAGCCCTAAGACCTAAACCTTAGGCCCTAAACCTTAAACCCGAAACCTAAACCCTAGATCCTCGCTTTTGCCACCAAGCCCCAAGTTCTAGGATTGGGCTGTGGTCGTTGAGGGCCTACACTTGAGGTGCTTGGGATTTGGGTTTAGGGCCGTTTAGGGTTTAGGGTAATGCGTTTGGAGTTTAGGATCATAGGTATGGGGTGTATGCGAAGTCGGGTCGGTTGCCTGGTCCAACCGGTCTCCCCGGAGAAATTCACCGCCACGCCCCGTACGTACTGAGGCTCTGTCGTTTGGATCGGTAGAATCCATGTTTTTCCACCCCTCCACTATGTCCTCCCGTTGGCTCGCTTATGAAGTAGTCATGCCTGTGAAGAGTCCTTTTCTGCATGCGTAGGATGGCAGTTCATCAAGTGTAGGGTCAGGGATGAACATGCGCAAGGTCATGGGTAGACATTCGCGGGGGGGTGGGGGGTGATATCTACCTCGAGTAAATTTTTGAAGTGCAGTTACGATGCTTCCAGCCTTTGGTAGAAGCATCCATGGACCATCAAGTAGGACTTAGCCCGGGGGAATGATGGGGTTGATTGGACGTTTTGCGAAGGTGGAGGGCATCGAGCTGTCCGATGGCCATGTAGCTACTTGGGATCGCACAACCTCTGAACCCCTAAACCCCTGAACCCCGAAACCCCTAAACCCTAAGAACCAAAACCCCTGCAGACCGAAACCTGAACTGAACGGAACGCTCGAGATGGGGACTGCCTCGAATAAAAAGTCTCTAGAGCCCTTGTTGCTGTGTTGCCGTGCTTTCCCTGTTCTCAGGGTTTTTAGCTAGGGCGTAGAGGGTTTAGGGGGGAGGGTTTAGGGTGTAGAACCTCTGAAGGCAGGCGATTCTTATCGGTTGCACGTTTCTAGGGTGCAGCGAAGGGAGGTCTGACACTTGTTGCTTTTGAGCGCGGGAACCTCAGACCCCAAAGCCGAAACTACGCGACACCCCTATAGTCCCTTAGAACCTAAGTGAAACCTCAAATCCCTGCCCTACATCCTTAAGCCCTAAACCTTTAAGCCGTAAAGCCATGAAAAACCAAAAACCCCGAAACCCAAAACCCTACGTTGAACCCCAAACCCTAAACCTGAAGACCCTGAACCCTAAACCCTAAACCTGAAGACCCTGAACCCTAAACCCTAAACCTGAAGACCCTGAACCCTAAACCCTAAACCCTAAACCCCAAACCTTAAACCCTAAACCCTAAACCCTAAACCCGAAACCCGAAACCCGAAACCCTTGTCCACAGCTTTCGACGAGGCCAAGGCGCTGGCCGCCGAGGTCGTCGCCTTCGACGGCCGCTTCGCGCGGCTTCGCATCGTGGTGACTGAGGCCCGGCAGCGTAGGGTTCAGGGTCTAGGGTCTAGTGTTTAGGGTTTAGGGTTTAGGGTTTAGGGTCTAGGGTTTAGGTCTAAAGGATTTTAGGGGTTTAGGGGTCTTCAGGCGTTTCGGGTTGTAAGGAGGCCTTGGGGTTGGAAGTTGTTGCTATTTGGCGGAACCTCCAGGGCGCAACGCGATTCCCAACCCAAGAGTATCGGCTGCAGCTATATACCAACTTGTTGAAGAGGGCTTAGGGTTCAAGGTTTCGGGGGCTTAGATTTTGCAAGTGGCCGAGGCTGAGAGAGCCCCCAAGCTCTAAAACCCTGAAGCCCTGAAGCTTGGATGTTCCCCCTTTTACTAGCAGTCCTTGATCGGGACTATAATCGGGGGTACTATAGCAAAATCTCTATTAAGTATTGTTAGTATATAAGGGGGAACATCCCACGCCCAAAGCCCCAACCCTCAGTCCCAAGTCCCCAAATCCCCCAAACCCTAAGCCTTAAGTCGCTAAATCCCTAAGGCTTGCGAGTCCTTAACCTAAATCCCTAAAGCTTAAACCCTAAATCCCAATAAAGCCAACAACCCGAAGCCGAATCATCGCCAGGGCCGTTTTCGCATGGTGCGGCGGATGCTGCGGGGCTGCGGCTACTGCTGCAACCTGGCCTTTCGGATTTGGGTATTTCCCAAAATAGGGGTACCCCTTTGATACCCCAAATAGAAAAGAATCCCCTTAAAGGGACCCCCAAAAAGGGTACCCCTATTTTCGGAAACCCCCATTTCGGGGTTCAGGGGCTCTCAGGGGTTTTAAGGGGCTCTCGAGGGTTTGCGGGCTTTATTTGAGAGTTCCAGGGTGATTTGGAGTTTAGATTCAGCTTCGGTTGGCTTCTGAACGTGTTTGGTTTCGTGCCTTAAGCCCTATCAACCCTGAGCCCCAAGCGCCCTAAACCCTAAACCCTAAACCCTAAACCCTAAACCCTAAACCCTAAGCCCCAAGCGCCTAAGTTGCGAAGGCATGCAGCTGCTTCGGGTTCGCACCTGTGGCATCGGATCTGCAGCGCTGCGGCCGCCTTCGCTCCAGGACTGGAACCCCTGAACCGTAAACCCTACCCTGAACCCTGAACCCTAAACCCTAAACCCTAAACCCCAAACCCTAAACCTTAAACTCTAAACCCTAACACCCTCACACCCTAACACCCTAAAACCCTAACACCCTAACACCCTAACACCCTAACACCTGAAACTCTGAACCGAAAATCCAAAGCCTGAAGCCCATGAACTGTTGAACCCCTGAACCCCAAACCCCAATCAAACCCTACAGTTGGGATGTTCCCCCTGATGCTAGTCCTTATTCCCTACAAAGGACTGTTAGAATAAGGGGCAACATCCCAGCCTACAGCCTGAAACCTCTGAACCCTAAACCCAAAACCCTAACCCCTCGCCCCTAACCCCTAAACCCTAAACCCTAAACCCTAAACCCTACACCTTTTTCCCTAAACCCTAAACCCTAAACCCTACCTGTGAGGAGGCAGCCTTCGAGGCCAACCACAAGGCGGGCGGCCGATTTTCTCGGAGCAAGGTCGACACCCTAAACCTTAGACTGAAGGCTTAAGCGTCAGTTAGAAGGGGTACCCCAAGGCTGCAGACCAGCGGGATCCCGGGGGGGGGGCAACACATCCCAAGCTTTTCCAAGATTGGAAAAATGGCCGGTTCCACTAGCAAGCATACACCGATGTTCATGGCAGGCACGAACCACTCATTTTGCTTTGCCTCGAGGCCCGTAGGAATCCCCCTGACCGGCCTAAGAGTTTGTGCGGCCAGGCCCTGCGGCTCAAAGAAAGAAGCATGCTGTTGAAGCGAGTCTAGGCCTAAACCCTGAAAGATCTAGGTTAGGGGTGGCTTTGCCGCCCTACACGGCGTGGGGTGGGAGAAAAGTGTTAGGTGGCTTCATAGCTGCCCCTTCGGATTTTGCGAAGCTTTCGAGGCTACTCTGCATCCCCAATCTTCTCAAGTTCTTCACAGCTCCTACGCCAGGTTCGCAGCAAACCTTCAACCCTCTACCCTCAACCCTCTAGCCGCAACCCTCAATCCTCAACCCTCAACCCTAAACCCTAAACCCTAAACCCTAAACCCCAAACCCTAAACCCTAAACCCTAAACCCTAAACCCTAAACCCTAAACTCTGATTAACCCTAACCTCAGCTTACACCACCGAGGTCTCCCCGTCCGTGGCACCAGCTAGCGCAGCGCGGGATCCAGAGAGGCTCTTTCCAGGGGTGGCGCGGCCTTTGAGCCCTAAACGCTCAACCCTAAACCCTAAACCCTAAACCCTAAACCCTAAACCCTAAACCCTAAACCCTAAACCCTAAACCCTAAACCCTAAACCCTAAACCCTAAACCCTAAACCCTAAACCCTAAACCCTAAACCCTAAACTCTCAACCCCAAACCCTAAACCCTAAACCCTAGACCCTAGACCCTAAACCCTAAGCCCTGACACTGAAACCCTCAAAACCCCAAAGCTGGGTTGCTGTTAAGGATCTTGACTTACTTTAAGTTACCTCAACAAGTGAAGTCCTACCACAGATCTCTTTGATTCTATAGTTCCTGAACAGCAGCCCAGAAAATGGTGGGCCTTTTGCACGCTAAGGAGTTTGCGGCGGTCACGCCGGCAGAGGTTGCCGACATCTACAGGGAGTGCCTGGCAAAGGTTCCACGAAACAGAGGCCGGTTTTGCTCAACGCCTTGAGGTCTGTAATGAGGGTAGTACTTCTGCATATGGGACTTGGAACTACATACGTATACATATGTATGTGTTTATACAGTTAGATTGATGTTTGGGTTGCATGGGGTAGTAGGATCAGGGTCCCTCATGTAGGCCCTAGAATCAGGTGCGACCAGCTGGTCAACTCCTTGAAGTGTGGGCACAGTCCTTGCGAGAGGCTTGAGGACATGGGCGAAGAGGCCAAGCCAGAGCACGGACCGGTAGCGCAAAGACGAAGTGCTTCCCCACGCTGTTGCGGATGCTGCGCTGGGCGGGGAAAGTGTGACCATCGTCGTTGGCCCTTTCTGCCTTTGTGGGCGGGGGCGTTGCTCAAGGAGATGTTCGTGATGAAGGGCCTGGTCTTTGATGCTTGGGGCCGCGATGACAAGTGACGTGGCAAAGTTGGCAGCTGATGTTTTCACACGAAGCCCTTGGTATGTAGTTCCATTTGTTCCTGTTTGTCACCAGAAGTATCGGAGACTTTGCTTATTAAGAGACCAGTTGCAGTCAGATAACAGCAACGACTCGCGTAGAAGTGCTGTTGGAGAAGAGCAAACGGTTTCCGCTGTAACCCCATAGCTCGCCCTCCCTCGCGAAGATACAGCAGATCCCCTTGAGCACCCATGTGCCTGAAACTGTTTGTAGTTGCAGACGTTTCCCCGGCACAGCGTCCCTTCTTTGGTGTTTCTGTGGTTCTGTGGGGGAAGACCGGGCGCTTGAACCTTGCAAAGCTCGAGGCCGTGCTGTCACTGGCAAGCCGCAGCCCTCCAAGCAGCCCGAAGCAAGAGTCGGGCACGGAGCAAACGCGGCAACTTCCCGTAAGATGCCTTCCCGCTGGTCCTGCTGCTTTGGTGCTCTGGGCTTCCGCCAGGAGAGAGGTAATTAAAAAATGGAACGCAGCTCGGGATGCAACTGAGGTTTAGGGTTTAGGGTTTAGGGTTTAGGTTTTCCGATGAAGACGGGATGGGCTCCGCAAGCTTGCTTGGCGCCTACTGGCGAGCGTTAAGGGACGAAAGGAGGGCGGCCTCTTATAAAGGGACCCCCTGGGGTTACGTAGGGCTCGTTGCGGGCTACGTAGGCTCTATCCAGACGACGCAAGGTACCTAAACCCCATCATCAACCCTAATCCTTGAACCCTGCTTCAAGGGTTCGAAAAGCTTGATGGGTCACGCGGCTCCCCCTTCCAGGGCCATTTGTTCAAGCCCAGCAGGGCAGCTCCCCCAGACCCCAAACCCAAACCCCTAAGCCCCATCACCTAGCCCCGAAATCCTAGACCCTAACCCCACATCCCGAACCCTAAACCCCGCACCCTAAACCCTAAATCACCCCAAACCCGAAGCCCTAAACCCTAAACCCTAAACCATAAGCCCTAAACCCTGAACCCCTAAACCCTAAACCTACGTCTCCATGCCTTGGGCCGGATCCAGCCCGCTGCGTTGGCTGCTCGCGGCCTCCCCCGTGGCGGCCTTCGACCAGCGATGCTACGTGCGCCCTGGACAACTTAGGGTTTAGGGTTCAGGGTTTAGGGTTCAGGGTTTAGGGTTTTGGTTTTTGGGGTTTGGGGTTTGGGGGGTTTAGGGTAAGGGTTCTAGGGTTCTAGGGTTGCTTGAGGGTAAAGGGTTTCGGACTTAGGGGTTTGGGGTTTATTTTTTCAAGATCTAGGCTCTAGTGTTTTTAGGATTAGGATGCGAGGGTTCTAGGATTTAGGCTAGAGGTTTTTAGGGTTAGGGTTTTAGGGCTAGTGTTTCGGGCTTAGGGTAGGGTTTAGGGTGCATGGTTTCAGGGTTTTGGAGTACTGGGCCTGGTTTTTTTGGTCTGTTCGGTTCAGGAACAGCTCCCACTCTGTTCTCTAGACATTGTTGTCTCGTGCTACCTCTTGCTTCATCAGAGCAGGTCTTCGGGGTGCTGAGGGGACCCTAAACCCTAAACCCTAAGCCCTAAACCCTAAACCCTAAACCCTAAACCCTAAACCCTAAACCCTAAACCCTAGACCCCAAACCCTTGGTGCTAAGCCGCAATTTATGGGAGCTCATGATCGGCAATCCAAACCCGGAACCGCTAAACCCTAAACCGAAACCCTAAACCCTAAACCCTAAACCCTAAACCCTAAACCCTAAACCCTAAACCCTAAACCCTAAACGCTAAAGCCTAAACGCTAAAGCCTGAACCCTAAAACCTGAACCCTAAACCCTAAACCCTAAACCCTAAACCCTAAACCCAAAAACCCAAAAGCCCTAAACCCTAAACCCTAAACCCCAAGCCCCAAACCCTAAACCCTAAACCCTAAACCCTATCCACAATCACTTCTGCTAAGCGAAGGAAAGAACACCCCTCAACCGGTAGAGCATCAAAAACGGTGCAGAGGCTTCACGCGAAGCAGAACACGAAAACCCTATCTACGTTTAGTGCTTTGCATTTAGGCTTAGCCCAAAACTCTAAACCCCCAATAAGCTCTCGACCCTGTGAAACCTCAACTAAACTGTGCTCCGTAAACACAAGTCCCAGAAGGCCCAATTCTCGAAAAGCTAGGCCCCATCTAACGCCTGAAAGCAATTCCAACTCTAAGCTTTAGGGTTAGGGTTTAGGGTTTAGGGTTTCGGGTTTCGGGTTTCGGGTTTAGGGTTTAGGGTTTAGGGTGTAGGGTTTAGGGTTTAGGGTTTAGGCTTTTGGTGTTTAGAGTTCAGGGGTTAGGGTTTGGGGTTTAGGGTTTAGGGTTCAGGGTTTAGGACCGATTAGGGTTTCAGGGTTCGGGGTTCAGGGTTTAGGGTTTAGGGTTTAGGGTTTAGGGTTTAGGGTTTAGGGTTTAGGGCTTAAAGGCTTCCACTGTACGCCCCCCATATAAGAGCACTGAAAGTCCTCCAACCCAAGGCCCTGTAAGAGCCCGTGAAGTCCTCCAAGCCTGAAGTCGTCTGGCCCTCAATTCTATGTAGGAGCCCCTGCCTAAAAGATCCCAAGACCGATATGAGCCCCTGACAAAAACATTGCCCTTTACGTTCTGCAGGAATTTGTAGGATCCTTAGTTGACGCCTACTACATCCTGAAGGGGATGCTGGTCATTGGATCCATCCTAACTACCTCACCCGTTGGGCAGCTTGGGGTCCCGTGATACCCCAAACTCTACGCCCTAAGCTGACTTGGGGTTAAGGGTTAGGGAACAGAGCCCTAAACCCTAAACCCTAAACACCAAACCCGAAACCCTAAACCCTAACACTCCCAGAATCTTCTCAAAAAGCGTCAGCGGGGCCCGAGGCACCCTTCAGAGGCCCCGAGCGTGGAGGGCAGAGACGAGAGCCCGAAGCCCTGGAACCTCCGGCAAGCTCCAAAATACTCCCCTACCTAAACCCTAAACCCTAAGTTTTTCAATCCCTAAATCCCTAAATCCATAAAATCCCTAAGTCCCTAAGTCCCCAAATCCCTAAATCCCTAAACCCTGGACCCCCAAACCCATAACCCCCCCCTAACGCTGGCCTAGAAGAGTTGTAGGAGCTTGGGGGCAATGTGGATTTAGGGTTGAGAGCCTGGCGCTTAGGATTGTTTAGGGTGCAGGGCTTGGTGGTAGGTGTGTTGAGAGCAGGGTCTTTGAAGTTTTTGAGAAGTAGGGGTTTAGGGTTTGGGGCTTAGGGTTTTGGGAAGTAGGGTTTAGGGTTTAGGGCTTTGGGGGACTCCTTTTTTTTTGGAGGGGTTTGGGTGGTTTAAGGGCTTGAGGCCTGAGCCCTAAGAGCCCCAACCCCTGCACCGCGGGATGGCTGCAAGGGGCTGTTTTGCGTGGTGAGACCGCCAACCCAGCAAGCTAGCAAGGTGCCAAGGCATCATGCCCTAAACCCCAAACCGTAAACCCTGAACCCTGAACCCTGAACCCGAAACCCTAAACCCCAAACCCTAAAGCCTAAACCCCAAAACCCAAAGGGCAAAGCCCAAAGCCCAAACCCCAAACCCAAACCCCAAACCCCAAACCCGAAACCCTAAACCCTAAACCCCAAACCCCAAACCCTAAACCCTAAACCCTAAACCCCAAACCCCAAACCCCGAACCCCGATTTTTCCCCAAGCATCAACCCACAGGCCGGCCCGCAGTGTGATGCGGCCGACCCCTGCCGAAGCAACTGCTGGAGCCAGGTCTTCAGTCGGCCGCCTCAAAGTCGCAGGGTTTAGGGTCTTAGGGTTTAGGGTATAGGGTTTAGGGTTTAGGGTTTAGAGTTTAGAGTTTAGGGTTTAGCGTTTAGCGTTTAGCGTTTGGGGTTTAGGGTTTAGGGCACCTAATGTCCAGTTTGTCCTCAACCATCCCAGGTTGTTTCGGGCTTTTAGAGTTTCCTTTCTAGTTTTTTTTTTCTTTCGTGTCCGCCTCTTGGGGTTTAGGGCTTCGGGGTGAGGTACTTGCTGTTCCGCGGTCCTCAGTCGGCCGCTTCTCAAAATCTCCCGGGTGTGAAGGCCTTCAGGACTTCCTGAACCCTAAACCCTGAACCCTAAACCCTAAACCCTAAACCCTAAAGCCTTCCTGTCGGATTACAGTGACCCCGTACATAACGTCATGTTCAGCTCCGCACATAGGGACCGCATCATTATTAAGGGAAGACGCAGGGGGATGCAGATCCCGTACTTTCTGGAGACCACAACCCGAAGGCACTTCCCAAGCCACTGGACCAACGACCCTGGGCGAGGCATCTTAGGACCCCACGTAGCCTACGCTGCCATAAATCGTACCCTAGCTGCCTCAGAGAGGGCGCCAATGCGCGCAAGCACAGTGCGCGCACGGCGCTGACAAAAAAAAAACCCTAAAGCCTAAACCCTAAACCCTAAACCCTAATCTGTAAACCCTATGATACCCCAAGCCCTACAAGCCTTTGAGCCCCAGCCGCTTGTGCTTTCACAAGCCGAGCGGTTTTGATGATGTTCTGTTCAAGCTCTTAACGGGTTGCTCTCTAAACTCGGGTCCCTTATTCCCCTGTAGAAGACGAGATACCTAATTTTTAATGGGCGTTTCCAAAATTAGGGGTAACTTATTTGGGTCCTGTTTATAAGGGGATCCTACTATTTGGGGGTCTATATGAGGGGTCCCTTAGTATCGTGAACCCCCAAATAGCTTCGCGAAAGCTATGAACAGTAGCTTCCGGGAAGGCTCTGTGATCTCCGCCCGTTGGGGCGGTTGGGGGAGCG